GCTTCGTAGAATGAAATAGGAGTATTCTTTGGTAGTTCCTATACCTAACGAATCGTAATAATTACCGTATAGCATACATATACAAGTTATACGATACGTGTGTGTGTGTGTGTGTATATATATATATATATATACACACACACACACACTACTGCAATATCTTGTATTTCGTCACTCCTCTGATTTCCACAAAGGCCACTGTTACGCTTTACAGCGTTGTAATTAGTTAATTGCTTTTCGTAAAATGTTTGCTGTGGACATTTTGTTTAAGTGTTAATATTTGTTTCACTGTGTATGAAAATGTAGGATTTCAATCATTTTATCTGATGCTTACAATAAAAAAATCAAATAACTAAAATTAATTAATATACTTTAGTCTTAAGTTGGTGATCTCATTAAATATTTTCGATTAAAGATGGCTAGACAGGTAGATAGTTATAAAGAAATGCTTAAAAAATGAAATGAGCAGCAACTGACTGTAGTAGAATAAAACATGTATAAAGGATGATGTAGGTTTGAGAACTTTAATGGACTGCTACTGACGTCTCAGTATAGAAGCCGAAACGCTGTCCACTTTTCACTCAACAGGCAGTTGTAGTGCGTTAAAGTTCTAACACCTATTATATCAACTCTGCCTGTAGAGGATGACCTTTGAAAAGTTTTTTTTCTTCATGTCGGTGTGTTTCAGCTGTTGCAGGTCTTTTATGGTATTCTGGTGGGTTGTGGAAGACTTTTGAAACGTCATCCTCTACACCTCAGTATAGAAGCCGAAACCTTATCCACTTTTCACTCAACGGGCAGTTGCAGTCCGTTAAAGTTCTAACACCTATTATATCAACTCTGCCTGTAGAGGATGACCTTTGAAAAGTTTTTTTTCTTCATGTCGGTGTGTTTCAGCTGTTGCAGGTCTTTTATGGTATTCTGGTGGATTGTGGAAGACTTTTGAAACGTCATCCTCTACAATGTGTGTTATTGCGAATGTGGCAAAAGTGTTTTCGTTCGTTGTATTTATATTTTCTTCCTCTTATAACCGTTTCGCTTTAGTGATGTGAATAGAATTTAGTCATTTTGTGTTAAGCCTTTTAACCACAGATATATAGATACCACGCAGCTTTAACATTAGAACTCCGAATTTAACGTGATTACAGGGCCGAAACTTTTTATTAGAAGTAGTAGTTTGTGTGTATGTGTGTGCACACAATTAGTGGTCAACTGCATAATCAAAGTTGAATTTTTAGACTTATTAAAGTCAAATGTAGGTTAGTGTTACCAGATTTATGTTGTTGTTTTAATAACCTACCAAAATATATCTCTAGAATTGCATTTGTTCTTTCATAAGAACAACGTGTTGAATTGCCGTTGATAGCATAATTCCGGGATCATTTCTCTTTCATGCACCGCGTTCAAATAGAAAGAAATATATATTTTTTGAATGTAGTTTTTAATGGTGATTTCAGAAATATAAATTAAAATTTGGAGGAATGAAAAAAATACTTTTAATATTTTTTTTTATTTTGCTTAAGAAACAAAGGAAGTACTTTTATCATTACATTTAAAATAATTGCAAGACATCAAGATAATACAATGTATCTAGTGTCAATATAACAAATTCACTGTGAAAATTCAGAAATATTTCCAAATATTCTACAACAGGCAGTTGCAGTCCATTCCAGTGTACTGATCATGAATATTATGTGGTTATTATTCACACTATCAGATGGATGGATAGCTATAGGTACGTTTTTGGTCATGATATGTAGCATGAGAGTTACTCAAATTGATGTAATATAATGTCCAAATAGAACTACAGAAAATTCAGGTGCTGGTGAAAAGGTTACCTAAGTACCTTGAACTTTGTAATTGATAAAACAAAGGGCAAGAAATTATAAGAATGCTTGAGTGAAAGAAAAGTAGAACATGTTATAATATGTCAACTATACTAAACTATCATATCCAGTGCTGACTGGCCTTTTGCCCAATATCAGGGCTTACAGGCCAGCTGGGATAGGACAGATTTAGTAGGGATCTATACATTTTATGTAAGAAATTTATTAATCAGGTATTTACATAAAGATTAATAACACAACATTATTTATTTTAAATTTTAACACTGATTATTGACTTCTATTATTTTTCACTTTAATTAACTTTACCGTCACTCACAAGAACTATCAAACCAACAAGCTAGTCTTCTTGTCCCTGGAGTGGGTGACCACAGCATTATTAATTTTAAGAATCTATGAGTGAAAGCAAAATGGATTATGTGATATTATGTCAACCATGCTCATTAAATGTGCCTAATCCAGTGCTGAAGAGGCCTTTCACCCAATACCATTACTCCTTTTTAATTGAAATGAACCTGTGGAGAAAGAAAGAAAAAAATAACATTGGGTGAATTTGTTTTTAAGGAAATCACGGTGTTAATTTTTCAGCTTGTAAGTTATTGAGTAAAGGAATTACTGTAGATCAACTTTTGGGACAGAAATAGTAAATACTTTATGATGAATAAACTTTTTTTTAAAGGTTAATACTTCAGTTATTCAAATAATGACGCATCAAACCAAGATACAAATATGTTTAATTAAAAACTTGATGAAAGTCTTAGTAGGTACAGAAGACTTGTTGCACTTTGTAAGATAGATTTGCACATGTTAATGAATGGGGTGGGGAAAATCACTGCAGGTGTAAGCCATGGTTTTGCAGTTATATGTTTAGCTTATGGTAATTTCTCTATCATTCAATGGTGGATTGCTGCCACAGATGGACTTATGGCTGAGGCTTGTCACAACCTTTCCCAAGGAAGGATATTCATATAATGAGGCCTAAGAACACCAATTTCAAACACAACCGTCCATAATGTAGTGCACAGAATTGGCAAGAGAAAGTAAACACACCTGCATAAAGAAATAATGGCACTTAAACCACATCCTACTATTCACAAGACTACCATTGCCATAGTTCTCAGATTGGTAATTCAGGAAATAGTTACTAACAACGATTTTGTCTTTATAAACAATCATAAACCGTGAGTGAATAAGCTGTTCCCCAAACTCATGGGTGAGAAAATGAGGAGCTGTATGAAAAGCATGTTTTTTATTAGAGGTGAAAGTTGCAGAAATGAATGAGGTCTAGGTGTACTTCAATGACCACATCAAGGAATGGATAATTTGCTGTTGATCATGAGGTGATAAGGACTTTCCAGTGTGTCATTGAGAATCTAAAAAAAAAGTTGTATTTGCTTTAGGAGAGCTGCAGGTTTTTTATGTATTGGGAAATGTAAACTTCCTAAAGTGCACAATAAAGTAAAGATAAACTAGTTACCATCAGAAGAACATATTGACACTAACTGTGTAAGATTAAATTCATTTAGTGTATAGCAACATGATGCATGTTGATCCCCATCAGGTTTACATATGGTGGAGGGTCTGTAAAGTGTTGTTCAAAAGAGTTAGTGTTGCGTAGTAGCCATCCAGTTGTAGCTGTGACCAGGAATGGAGGAAGAAGTGGAACATATATTTGACACTCAGAAGCTAATGAACTGTTTGTTGTACATAAACATGTGAAGAACATTACATTCGGTGACCTTGAGTTTGCTAGTAGAATAATATTTTTCTCAGGAAATATTAACACTTAATATTTTACTCAAATTACCAAAAAAGATCAGTATTTGTAAATCATACAGTGTGTAAACCACATCCTGTGCTATATCATTTCCTGCAGCCTTGTTTGCTTCCTGTATTGCTTAGCTATGAAACGTCTTGATAAAATCATGACTACCAGGAAATGTAACCCTCCTTCTCATGAACAGTTTCCAATTCATATCACATGGTACTCAAGTCATGGCTTGAACTGAACTTTTTTTTATTATGCCATTCTTGTTATTAGCGTGGAAATTAATTCATAAGTTTCATTCTAGCAGTTTGATTTCAATAATATTTCATCACATACTTTTTGTGTGTTCTGCTTAAAGACTAGATTAATCATAATTTCAAACTAAAAAGCTTTTAAGGTTATAAACAGAAGAAGCAAGCAAAGGAAATCTTTTGTTGAAATACCACTCATGATATTTTTCTGTTTGTGGATGTATTTTTTTTTTTACAAAAAATATTAATAGTAATGTAATTGTAAAGTTGTCCAGTTCTTTCAGAAAGTTTTTTTTAACAGTAGTATTCAGAGTAGCGGTGTTGGAGATCACAGAGCAAGAAAGTAGTTGTGAATGATGTGTGAATTACATGTGGCTCTAAAATATATGAACTTGTAGGGCCTGGTGTTGGGAGGAAAGCAGCATTTAAGGAAATGCAACCCTCCCTCTCCTCTTGAACACTTTACAGTTCAGATTACATGATATGCGAGTCACAGCTTGAATAATTTAAGTTGTGATATCTGAGATCTTTGTGATTATAAACATTGCAAAATAATTCATAACTTTTGTTCCTTCGGTCTTTGATGTTTCCTGACAAACGTTTTATGTGTTTCCTGCATCAAGGTTTTAGAAAGTTGTATTTTCAAACCTTCTGAGGATGTAATAGAAACCCAAGCAACGAGGGTTAGTAAGATGTTAAAAGTAATGTGTATGATCATTTAAGTAAGTTGCACATTGCTTGTATCACCCATTTTCCAACCTTACGACAAGTGCTGCTCAACGAGAACCAAGTGTAAAATTTATTTGAGAATAATCATATATTACTGTGGATAGCAGTTTTTAGACTCAACCTATACATGTGTGGTTAATTAATAGATTTTAGCTACATTCTGAGAGGCCCCGAGCATATCACATTTATTAAAAAAAATTATTGCATTTTCACATAGAACATTTCAAGAGGTAAGTATATGAAATATACTAAAAAATTATAGTATTGGAGTTTCTTCAAGCATTCTAATAAGTCTTAAGTACATTAAATGTGCATAAAATGGACTGTTTACAATTGGAACAGAATTTACAAGTTATCAAGTAATTACTGCTAGAACAATATTTTTTGATGTCCTTTTAATTACTGACTGCTGTCTTGTTTTTTTTATTCAGTAAAATGTTTAAAGTAATAAATTATCACAGGAACTTACATGAAAATCACAAAGTACAAAGTACAGCAAGATTAGTTATTTTTGTGGTCATGAGTCAGTGAGTTGAGTTTAAACCTTTTCTCTTTCATTGAGAAACACCTGCTTTAAGGTTAGTATTGTAGAATTCCAGAAGCTTCCCAAGCATGAGACACTCTGAGATCTAATAAAAATTTTGAAGAGTTTATGAAAGTTGATACATTTCCAAAAACAACCAAAGAATTAATAATAATTTTATTGGCAATACAGAGTTGAGTGCCACTTACTTAGAAGCTTTTTGTTTAACCATATTTGTCAAGTTTTTTCTCTGTATTTGAGATGCATTTCCTTGAGAAAGTTTGGACTTAAAAAAAAAATGATATGATGCAAGTGTGAATAAGATGTATGTGTAGAAATGTAACTTATAATTTGGTGTGTGGTAAAAGCTAACTGTTTGGAGTTATTTAATAAAACAATTTTAATGAAGATAATTTACAACTTTTTGATCACAGCAAATATTTTTTTTTCTTTTTTTTAAATATTTTGGCAAATGTATCTGGCATCAGTGTGTTAATTAGCATTATTATTGCAAGACACTTTATTATTTAGTGTAGTATTCTATATTATGTGTGCTGTGATGATATTATGAATATAGAATAAAATTAAAAGAACAAAGGTTCAAGTAGAAAAATATATATATATATTCTGTAAGATGAAATTATCCACAGTATTGCCTATAATAATCAGGTGACATATTTCTATTTATGTATTCTTTCTGCAGCATCTAATGCCCAGGCTAACAAATTAAATTCTCTGAAACTTTATACATTATTTGATATTGTTTCTGCTAACCCTGATTCCTAACATTTACAAACAGAAAGTGTCAGAAAAGCATAGTTCTTGCATCAACAATCAATGTAAGAGTGACTGTTGGAAGCCATATAACATTTACTATAACATATGTGAACATTTGCTATGTACTTGCATATCTGAGATTCACAGGTTATGGGATGTAGTATTATTTATATTGCCCTTGCTCTGAGAATTCTAGTAGTATGGCATTTCACAGTAGTATTAATTCATGTTATTAACATCGTTAATCTAGCCGAAGTGATAAGTTGTTTGAAATTCAGTGAAACGTTTAAAAAAAAACTACATGTTCTGAATGAAGCACATTTCTTTCATTTCTAGTACATGCTGATAAAGAATAATAATAATAAAACTGTTATTTTGGCAATAAAATTAGATTTAAAAAATTACCTCTACTCTCTGCCTGATACTACTTGCCCTGATGAAGTTGTAAAGGTGAAACATTGGCTGAAATTAAAAGTATTTTTATTAATACCTGAAGAGTAAAAATCATTGTTCTCAAACTTTATGTCCAAGTCCCTTCAGTGTACACTACAAATTTTGAAAAATAACATTGACAGTTTGAGTTAAATTGGCATGTTCGTTTGTATAAGATGAAGTAATCTTATGTAAAGTGTGTTTAAGGATTTTATGTTTTGCAGTGTGAAAGGCAAGAATGTAATAGTTATTGATTTCTTTTTTTTTCTCTCTCTCTCTTTAGGTAGGGTGTTGAGAAGGCAGAGGACTTGAAAGGTAGAGAGGATCATCTGTCTTCAGGCCTGATCAGCACCCTTTTGCAACCCAACTGACTCCAATATCCATTATGAAGATAGAGCAATGGACATTTTTTTTGTTACAATAAATAGATGTTGTAAATAAGAACTAATTGATGTTTAACCCTTCTGCTTAATCTTCTACGTATATTTATGAGAGTTCAGTGAACCATGAAGAACAGAATTTGGTGCAGCTGGACGAGTATTGTTCCACAGCTGTGTATTGTTCTCAAAATGGTGGACCTTGCAACAGCCTGTTGGGGTAATACAGCCCCAAATCTTGGAAGTAAGCTTCTTCTCATATTTATTTCTTATACAGGAAAATTAGAACTGAAATAGGTTCCTAAATTAAGGCTTTTATCATTCTTCTTGGTATTTTAAATTTACCTTCTACCAACAAAGGTATCCAGTATGGAATATTGCCCTAATCTCTGAATGAGTACTTCTAGATTAAAACGAACCTTTTATGTTGCTAACGTATTCAATCGTGGCTATATGTATTTGGATGGTGATCCAAGATGTTCTATAGGTTAAGTAACATCAAGGAGATAGCAAACCAGTATAAAACGTTTGCTCAATGAAATAATGCAACACTAATAAACATTTCTACCTTTTAGTAACTAAAGTTATTTATGATATTGACGAGAATTTTGCAGTAATCAGCTATTTTTCAGACATTGTACTGTGTTGTGATTTATTGAAATCAAAGACCTATTAGGCATGCAGATTTAGTTGATGTGTATTACGTCAAGGTTATGTTATGGCATTTGTTTTACATGAATTGTAGATAGTTTATGAATCTATTTCAATAAATGTTCAGAACTTTTTGTTAATAATGGTTTTGATTGCTCTGCACAAGGTGTACTCCCACACCAATGGTTCATCCACTTCTACACTTTCCAAATGATGGGAGTTCTCCTTGTTTTTTTTTATTCATTTATTTTTACTCTTCATGATGGGTGTTGTTGCTGTTTCCACCCTTGTTGGGCGAACTACATTTTATAAAATTGGTTAAGTTTACTGATTCTATACAACTATGTGTGAAGTAGCAGTACGTATAGAGGGTTGAGTACATTATATTGAAACGGTCTTGAATGTGTAAATGAGCAAAGCATGTGGCAACTACAGCCCATGTAAATTTGAGGTGAAATAGAATGCATCAAAACTACATTTTACATTATTTGGCATTTTGTAGGTAGTGTGATGTTCCTAAAAATTTAACAATTTTGAAAAGGATATGTAACAGCTGTTTTCAACACAAAATATTCACACGCACTCGGAATATAAAAAATTTTCCAGTTTTTTCCAAGATGGAGATATCTTTTATACTTGTGCAATTGGAAAACAAAAAAAAAATATGGATGAATTTGTGGAACCAGGATCATACAGAAAGAGACCTTCAACAAGTCCTACCTCAACTGTGGTAAGCAAAGTTTAGCATCATGTAACAGGGGAGAATCCACAAACACAGTAACAAAAGCCATCCATGTGTCCCAGGCAACATAATGAAGAAAGATCTTTGTCTGGAAAAGGAAGCAAGTCTATACATAAGTTGCTTCCATGACAAATCTGCATAACTGGTGCATACCTTAAACAGCTTGAGAATGAAATGGATATTCTTGGTATTCCATACCAAGATATGACAGTCATGTTGTCTGACTATGGATTTCTGTGAGATTGGATGCTGGGAAACCGTTGTCCTCGTACACTAGATGGATTATAGAAAATAAGAAGGGAGTGGTGGACGGATTTTGATATTACAGTCTTACGACAGAGCCTTTTGTAATGTAAACTATACTGCAGGGCTATTGGCAATATGCACAGCTTTTGGATAAAGCATGACTTGAAGTGACAAAATGGACTGTAATGATGTTGTGAGCTCCAAAATCATTTTGATATAATGTACTTAACGTCTGCATAGTACAGTGTGAGCAATCATTCTTTTTTTAACTTCCAGCTGTTTAAATAAAGATGAACAATACTAATTTGTTTGAAGTAATTTCATGTTAATTAATTATATAGTCATCTTTTAACTGTCAGTATTATGTGTTACCTCGGAAGAAGTGAAATTGTTTTCAAAGAATAGTAAAAAAAGTAAATTTAACAGATTTAGTCTAAGATTTTCTAAATTTTAGTAAGATAGGCTTTTGACACTAGTGTAGTAATTCTTGATGTCCCTAAGATAATTGTTTGTAACTTTAAAGCTTTGGCATCTTTATTCATCACAATCACTTTGTGATACTTTTTGAGTTAGGTAGCATAATTTGCTAACATTTTGTTAGATAGCAGTATTTCAACTCTCAGGTATCATCAGGCTTAATAAAAATAAAACACACTAGAACAACATTCAGTTAAAATAATGGCCGAGAGCATAGTTTTGGCCAGTAGGGTTAAATTGTGAAGTGATTTAAACCTGATCATATTTTTTTTCAGATTTAACAAGTGACTATTCTATTGAAGTTGGTTCCACTGTTGACCTGAACTGTACTTTGCATCAGCATCAAATTTTCTTAAAGAGCAGGGACCATCAAAATGAGACATATTTTGTTAATTCTACACACTTGGAGTTTCGCTTCAACAGCACTACAATTCCTCGTGAATATGTTCACATTGTAAACCCATTAACTGCACAGCTTCGAATTCCTAATGCAAGTATTGCCTACTCTGGAAAATATTACTGTAACTTGAAGCTACCAGAGATGAAAAAGGATATTACAGTATGCTTAAGTATCATCTTTGTTGGATGTAAGTTATTATTATTATTTCATAAAAATATCCATTGACTTGTGGATTTTTCTTTGCGTGTCTTTTTAATTCTAACATTTCCTATTTTCCCTTCCTCATTGTAGCTTAGTGGTAAACCTGAGGGCTTCTAATCCTAAGAATTGGGGTTTGGTCTCTACAGTGTTGCTTATTGCATTTAACAACAAACACAGAAAAATCAAATATATCACCGTATGCTTTTCTTAAACAAGTCAGAATATTGATTTTTTGGAATGTTTAACAGAGGGAATATTCTTAGCCTTTGGGTTTCAAAACCTCTAGTCATAGGAAATAACTCATTGATACATTGCTATTTTTATAGACTCGAATTAATTCCAAACAAGAAATTACAGGTATCTTGGAGCTCATAATTTATGCTTGTTGTTAGATGAAGTCAAAATATCAATGACTTAGACTTCACAAATCACCACCTAGAGTTTGTACATTTAGTATTTAAAAAGGTAACTGAGCAGTCACTAATGAATTATTTGAGTGCCTAACAATTATTTCTTCTGTACTTACTGTCCTTTCAGTTTCATTTCTGAACAGCAGCATACTTAGTCAAGTATTGTTATGTGTACATTGTTCGGTTATTTTTCTAATCAATAATCTTTATAATTGGTTAGGAATATGTTTCTTGTTGAACATGAAAATGTATGAAAAGAAACTGCATGTTGTATGCAAGTGAAATGATTAAGAAAGAGCCAGGATGCATTGGCAACTTATAAAAGTTTGTGTTTGGTAACAGAAGTTATACAAATCAACTTGTGTGGTACTATATTATTGTAAAATTAAATTAATAACAAACAAGTTTATGATACTATAAAGACTTGTTTTATCTGTTCTATCTCTGGCTGGATATATTTTGTACATCAATTTAACCATTTTGCAATATTAGTACACAAAACTAGGCTTTATGTAAATGAAAAGTAAACCAATCATAATACAATATAATCTTTGTTAAAAAGCATACATGTTTAAAATATGTAAGCCATTGTTTTTACATTTTATCTTATGTATAATACTATGTTTACACACAAATTATGTCTTCATTGAAATTCATTTCAAAACTAGACATAATTAGAGAATTCTCTACCATGCCTTGTTATAAACATGACATAGGGAGTTCTTCTCTACAATGTCATGTTATGAAGAATGAAGACGAGCTTTTGATATTTTATAGATAAACCCCGTGCAGTGGATCAAAACAAATTTTCTTGTCTCAGCAAAAACTTTGAAAACCTAACTTGCTGTTGGATACCACCCTATAACCCTGTCAGAACAACTTATACTCTGGAGAGTGATGTGAGGATAGGGTAAGTTTGTCATCTATGACTTTCAGGTTTATAGCATTTGGCATCTTACATTTCTCCGATTGAACTTGGATAAACATTCGATATCTTATTGCTGTAACCAAACTGATTTAACCACCACTCAAATGGGTTTGGTTCAGTAGAAAAGTTATTTCATAGTTTTTGCTCATAATATTTCTTTCTCTTTCACAGTGTAATATAATACTTTTTTTTTTTCAAAAACAATTTTGAAACTTGTCTGTGTGATCATTTGAACCAAACTTACATGCCAGGTGGTTAGAATTGAAATCTTGTTGTTTTTATACCAACATATTGCAGTGCTATAGTAGGTTGAGTTTTTACTACAATAACTGCAAGATTAGCCTTTAGTCTTTGAGCTTTTTTCATTTTAATGAAATACTGGTTTCTGTAATGAGCTGTATTTGGTAATATTTGTGACATGAAATGTAATATCCAACCTTTTCTTATTGAACTAGGTGTAATTTTCATGTTTATTTGACTGGTATGAGAAGTTTGTATTAATATCTGTTAAGATACTTTTCAGTTGTCATTATTGATATAAGTTGTACACAGGTAGTAGTTGATACATTATAAGCATGTTTGGTCAAACTAACTGTTGCTCTGTTTTACCGCCTTAATAAAAAAGGAATAAACTGATCAAGGAATTAAGCCATGCCAGTGATATCTTAAACAAAGGACTGCTTTTCCATGCTTTGCCAGCACCAACTATAAATAGATACTGCAAGCTGGTATTTTTTGAACATACCACATTGAGACAGATATGCCTTGTCTAAGGAATGTTGTATAACACTTTACTAAAGTTTTGGTTTCTTAGTTTGTTATTTGGCTGCTTGCCAACTGTACAGTTCTGTTCTTTATACTCATTCAGCAAGTTTATAATTTATTTTTGAACAGGTTATAAGCTTTTCAAAATAGAAGAAAGAGATGAAAATTAAAATAACCGATTATATAAAAAAAAAAAAAAAATAAAAAAAAACAATTTCTCTAGTTGTCATACCACACAAGTATTTTAATTAAACAAAAAAGA